AGGTTAGGTCGGTTTGGGTTAGGCTGGGTAAGCTTAAGTAGGTTTTAAAATCCCTTGGGGAACCATGTTGTGCGCACTGGGACTTGTATCCCTGAGGTCGGGCAGTTTGGATAAGAGCCAAGCACCACATGACTAGACACTAGTGAATATCACGCCACTTCTCAAGAAAGATGAAAGCACATGTGCATGAAATTATCATCCTATTAGTTTAATAAGTTAGGGAATTTAAAGGAAACAATTATGAGAGACAGAATTGAACATTTCTAGATTTTCACAGCTTAATATCGGAGAGAAAAAGAAACATGGGTTCCGGAACAGTTTTTTTTTTGAAACAAAAAATACTGTCTTATGATTCAATTTGAATTCTTTAATTACATATACAAAAAAACCAGGACCCCCATGGCACAGCTCGTCATAGTAAACAATGACCACATGCTTGCTAATCCAGCCGACAAACCCCTCGACCCCTTTATGAATAAAAATATATTTAAACATGATTTACTAAAGACGTTTGAACGTTTCTCAAACATCTATCTCTTCGCAGTCTTACCATGTTCGAATCCCACCGTTATAAATGCTTCACACGCATAACTTAAATACAAATAATTACCAACGGAATCTATAAACACCTCTGTTAACCTAAGTCTAATTCATGCACAGAATTCTAATATTTTTAATATTAATTTATATTTATGAGAAAATTCCTACTTTGAATGCAAGGTACATTTATATTGATGAATGAAACTCTGGAGTCGGCTGCCGGATAGACAAGCCGAGCCTGAGGACGGGGTTCCCATTACATGCCTGTCTTAAATATCGGCTTACTAAGGGGAAGCAATTAGTCTTACTAATTATATAATCATCCACCTGACAGCCATAACGAATGAGGTGCCCCAGTGATCGGTGCTTGGTCAAGCCCTCTTCATCACCAATATAAATAACATCAAAACAGAACTAGCCTACACAACAGAATTAACCTACAAAACAAAACTAACCAACACAGCTACCCTACAAAATAGGTAATCAAAAGGCCTTTTGACAGTCCAGAAAACGCAATCTGCCCATCCTTCACTGACCTGCCTTGTTCTTGTTATTTTATCATAGAACTGCAGTAGGTTTGTTAGGCATGATTTTCCTTCTCTAACTTCATATTGGAGTTGGTTTACATACATAATTTTCTTTATGTAATTAGTCTGAACCTGATTATGATTTCAAGTGCTTTGCAGGGAATGTACTCTGCAGGCCAGTCAGTGATATTGGACCTGTTAAGTGCCTCTTTATATAGTTTCCTTCTTCCAGCAGCTGGGCAACTCTTCCTTTGTGAGAGACTCGTTAGAGATCTTTGCCAGAGGTACGCTGAGGGCCTGCACTGCCTCCTTTAATATCCACGGTGATATGTAGTCTGGTTCAACAGCTTTAGCATCCAGTGATGCTAGTTATTTCTCTATTTCCTCTGTCGACACCTCAGTATTTGACAATATCTCTTCTTCCAACCCTGGGAGCTGCTTGGGCTCAGTTGTGAACACATGGAAACTGGTGTTTAGTTGAAACCTGGAGCCCCTCCAGGTTTTTCTTAGTTTTGTCACTTGGTCGCTCACTGTCGTATGCCTTCTTATATGACTATATGCAGTAGATTTGGTTGTTTCTCTACTTTTATGGCAATATCGTTCTCATTATATATTTCCGATACTCTCCCTTACATTTGTGTATCCATTCCTAGCTCTGTTGCTTGTGTTCCTATTTTCCTCTGTCCTTTGAACTTTATATTTCCTCCACTCCCTCCGGCTTTTCGTTTTTGCTTCTTGGCGCTGCCTATTAAACCATGAGTTATATTCCCTTCCACTTTTTACCCTTATTGTTGATATGAAACGCTGTTCAATCTCCTTGTGTGTGCATTGACTTGGTCCATTATGTGTGTGTACTCACCTATTTGTGCTTGCGGGGGTTGAGCTCTGGCTCTTTGGTCCCACCTCTCAACCGTCAGTGTGTGTGTGTGTGTGTGTGTGTGTATTTAATATTTGTATCTCCAAAGTCGAGCTATAAGCTCTTGGACCCCGCCTTTCTAACCAATCTATGTTTCCTCTATGATGTCTACTACATATGTTTCTACATGAAAGATACATATATCTATCACACGCATACACTCAGATTCTCAGGACGCAGCCCGTAGCAGCTGTTTAACTCCCAGGTATCTATTTACTTCAAGGTGAACAGTGCATCCGGGTGAAAGAAACTACCTATTTGTTTCCGCCTCCACCGGAAATCGAACACGGGCCATTAGGACTACGACCCCCAAGCGCTGTCCACTCAGTCGCGAGGCCTCTATGGATGTACTCACCTAGTTGTGCTTGCGAGGGTTGAGGTTTTGCTCTTTGGTCCCTCCTCTCAACTGTCAACTTTAGCAGCCATTTTCTGGACCATTCCTCCGGTTTGTCCAGGTCGTCCTGTAGTCTCTGTCTATCTTCATCTGTCTTGATTCTTCTCATAATTTTTCCATAATCAGCAAACATTGAGAGGAATGAGTCTATACTCTCTGGAAGATCGTTTACATATATTAGAAACAGGATGGGTTCAAATACAGAGCCCTGTGGGACTCCGCTGATGACATCTCGCCACTCTGATGTTACACTCCCTCGCAGTTACTCGCGGTTTCCTGTTGCTTAGATACTCCATCATCCACTGGAGCACCTTACCTCTTACTGCTGCCTGTTGCCCCAACTTTTGTAAAAGCCTTTTATGGGGTTCTGTGTCAAAGTCTTTCTGACAGTTCAAGAAAATGCAGTCTGCCCACCCTTTTCTTTTTTGTCTAGTTTTTGTTGCTTGGTCCGTGTATTCACCTAGTTGTGCTTGCGGGGGTTGAGCTCTGCTCTTTCGGCCCGCCTCTCAACTGTCAGTTAATCAACTGTTACTACCTTTTTTCCACACACACACATACATCCCCAGGAAGCAGCCCGTAACAACTGTCTAACTCCTAGGTACCTATTTACTGCTAGGTGAACAGACCCATAAGGGTAAAAGAAAGTCTGCCCATCTTGTTTCTGCCATCACCGGGGATCGAACTCCGGACCCTAGGATTACGAGTCCAGAGCGCTGTCCACTCAGCTATCAGGCCCCTGTGTGTGTGTGTGTGTGTGTGTAATATGTATATGTATATGTATATGTATATATATATATATATATATATATATATATATATATATATATATATATATATATATATATATATATATATACATTATAAGAAACAGTAAGAGAAAAAGAGAAAATGTGTGTGTGTGTGTGTGAGACAAGATATACATAGTATGTATAACAGGGAAAATGTGTGGGAAGACAATTAGACAAGCGAGACGTCACTTGTGAGCTAACCACGTGAGAAAAGGTGGAGATAGGGACACTGGACCAGGCCCCCACTGTTACAGTTATCACCAGGTACATCAGCGTGACCTACACACACCCCAGAGATCTTCCTTTTGTTGTCGTCCTCGGCGTAGCCACAACCGCGAGAGTATACCTTGCAAAAACCCGGCTGGTGGACGGCACATACTGGGGGACAGACAGACATAGAGTGATTAGAGATAGGGGGATGAGGGAGGGAGAAGGTAGAAAGAGAGAGAGAGAGAGAGAGAGATAGAGAGAGAGAGAGAGAGAGAGAGAGAGAGAGAGAGAGAACTATGGTGGGGGGAATAGGGGTGAGGGGGAGAGGTAATGTTTACCCATGTGGCAGGGGGTCGAGGAGGGGTGTTTGAGGGGAGAGGAGAGTGAGAGAGGGGAGAGAGTAAGAGAGGGGAGAGAGTGAGAGAGGGGAAGGGGGTGGGATAGGGAGTGAGTGACAGGCATGCTGGGGTCCGCCTCTCGCCCTCCTGATGGCTTTACCAGCTCTCACCCCCCCCCCCACCCCCCACCTCTTCTTCCTAACTCTCAGCCCTCATTTCTCCCCCCCCCCTCTCTCTCTCTCTCTCTCTCTCTCTCTCTCTCTTCTCTCTCTCTCTCTCTCTCTCTCTCTTCCTCTCTCTCTCTCTCTCTCTCTCTCTCTCTCTCTCTCTCTCTCTCTCTCTTCCTCTCTCTCTCTCTCTCTCTCCTGTCTCTCTGTCTCTCTCTCTGTCTCTGTCTCTGTCTCTGTCTCTCCTCTCTCTCTCTCTCTCCCTCTCTCTCTCTCTCTCCACTCTCTCTCGTCTCTCTCCTCTCTCTCTCTCTCTCTCTCTCTCTCTCTCCTCCCATTCCTGCTTTTTTTTTAACTAAGACTTTGAAATATTACAAGCTGATATCAATAAAATCTTCGACTGGGCAATGGAAAATAGCATGGTATTTAACAGTGAACAATTTCTGGTACTTAGGAACGGTGAAAATGTAAACCTATACAGGAATTACATGATGGAAGACACAATCAGAGTCTACTCTTAGAAGGACAACAGCATGTAAAGGATCTGGGCGTAGTGGTGATGTGTGACAACCTACCGTTTAGTGAGCATAACGAAGGAAATATAGCGTCAGCCGGGGGGGGGGGCAAAATTGATTGGATGGTTGATGAGAAGCTTTAAATCCAAGGATTCCTCCACAATTCTCATTCTAGTGTGGCTTGTCCTGCCTTGAGTACTGCTCGGTATTCACGTCACCTTTCAAAGAAGGAGGGATTTCTGAAATAGAGGAAATTCACGGAACATATACGGCACGCATAGACACAATAAGAGAAAGGTAAGTACAAAAAAGCACGAGATGAACGATAAATACCGGAGAGGAAAGAAATGGGAGACAGAGGGGGAAAAGAGAGAGGTGGTGTGAGGAGCAGCAGGAAGCACCCATATAACAAGGAAGAGACGATCATTAAAGCATCAGTAATAG